ATGTGGTTATTAAGTCGCTGACTAGAAGTGATTTATTTTTAAGTGAGCGGATGTTTAAAAATGCAAACTTTATAGTCTTCCTTTTTTGTCCCCACGGCAATCTTAGTTTGGCGTGTAATAGACACCAGATTAGATGGGTTTGCAGTGCGACTTTTGAAGGCCTTAGATTTTCTATCATGTATTTGAACTGCTATAGAGAAGGATTCAGGCACACTGGGTTCCTGCTTGTTTTGTAAACATTTAAGAAAGTTACTGATATCAAAGCGGATACCCGACTCATATCATTGAGAGTGGGTATCAGTTGTTTTTGGTTCACCTCGAGCAGATGGAGGAGGGTGTGAGCCCTGGCGCCATGGTAGAGGCCGGAGAGCTCTATCAGGGGGAGGAGGAGGAGGGCGAGCTGTGCCCGCAGGCTTTGGTGGTTGTGGGGCCTGCTGGGGGCTTGCAGCAAAAGAGTGTGATAGTTTAGTTCCAGCATACACCCGTTTTTCCATTTTCTCTGAGAAGCACAGAAGTGGAGATTCTGGAGAGAGTGATAACGTGTCAGGTGAGAGGGGCTGTTGCTCTGGTGTTATTGGAGGCTGTAGTATGCTGTCCTGGTTTCCCTCGTTGTTTTCCTTAATGTCCTCCTTGGGTGCTGAATCTTGGAGCAGTTCTGATTTGTCACAACCTGTCTGTGGTGTGCTCTGTGGGCAGGGCTCTGCTGAGATTATGTCCGTGAGCAGAAGTTGTTGTGGCTGCATGGTGTTATCGTTGTCCTTGTGTGATATGTCAACATGTCCATTCAGGTGCTGAAATGAAGTCCTGTGGTCATTCATATTGTGTCCAGGTGTGTGTGTGCCATTCAGGTTGAGTGGGTTGGCACACACTGCAGAAGGATGATGGAGGGAGAAGTAGATATTGTCCTTTAGCACTCTTGAACCAAGTTTGTTTGGGTGGTGGCCATCCCGTTGAAACAGTTGCCTCTGACTCCAGAAAAGATTGAAGTTGTCTATGAAGTTTACTCCTTTTATATTGCAGGTTTTTTGCAGCCATGTGTTGAGCCCAAGCAACCGAGAAAACCTGTTTGTTCCTCTTGCTGGGAGTGGTCCACTGATGAATGTCTGAACTTTCAGTCTTTTAAGTGTTTCAAAAAGTTCATTGAAATCCTTCTTAAGGAGTTCTGACTGCTCTTTATGAATATCGTTCTTCCCCACATGAATGATGAGTCGATTTGCAGTCTTATGTTTCACCAGAATGTTCTCAAGTTCCCTGTTTACATCAGAAGTTGTTGCTTGTGGAAGGCAGCATGTAGTTGAATCCCTGCTACTAATGTTTCTGATTATGGAGTCGCCCACTATCAGAGTCCTGGGCCCCGCTGTGCTCTGAGTTGAGTGCCGCTGCCTGCTCGACCTTGAGCGCCGGTTAGCATCAGTGTTAACGACCGGCTGGCTCAGTCTTTGATCTATCACATTCATCAAATTCAGGGATTTCTCATTCATTAATACTTCAAATCTGTTCTCAAGATGTATAGGCTGTGGTAGGAGACCAGTGTTTGCAATCCTTGTCAGAGCCGTATCTGGGGTAGAAGATGCTATTGCGGCAATATGTGATGCTTGTAAAAATCTGATGTCTCGAGTGCCTTTGGGTCTCGCGCCCTGTTTGTGCCATCGATTTGTGAGTCGATCGGCTCGTTTCTCTACACTCAGTACTGCCTGTCGAGTAGCACTAGATTTCTGGGACTCACTGGCTGTATGCTGAGGGCGTCCATGATGAAGCTCTGTTGTGTGTTCCGTCTGGTGTGGTGTTCCCGCAAGTAACTTTGTTTCAATAATTTCAATCCTTTGTTAAAGTCTCTGACAGTTAGTGCAGCAAGTAGATTCCAGAAGAGGCATTTTCTCTTATCCTTTGGAATGTAGGCAGTTGTGTTTTTCCTTCCCCGGAATGTAAGCTTTCAGTGGGAGGCTGGTCGGAGAAAAGAATTCTGCTTTTTGTAGTAATCAAACGTTTGAGCACTGTACTGGTTTGCTGAAGTTAAAATTAAGTGATAAAAAGGAGATAAAATAAAATAATATAAAAACGATAGAGCGATTTAAAATTATAAAAGCGATAGAGCAAAGTGCGGAGCGGTAAGCAAGAGCGTCCGAACAGTAGCTGAGCAGGAAGTACAGCTTGCCTTAATCACTGTCACTGTGCCTTAATCACTTGCTTTAACACACAGTGTTACAACTAAGCTGCCAAGTGTACAATGATAATCAAATGAAAACGGAGCCACACAACTTTTCAGGTTTGAGTATACATTTAACTTTGTTGGACTTTCACAAACAATGTTGGAATTTAAAATGTTTAAAATTTAGTGTACTATGAATGATAACTTTTTTATTTATTAAAAATATGGCCTGTTTTTAATGTAATAAACCCCTTAAATTTTTATTTTGAGCTCATTTGTATTATTATAACTGTTATTATTATTATTAATAATAATAATTGTACATGCAGCTGCCACACATAAATCTAATTTAATTGCAATTACAAAATTTATATTTTTATTTATTATTATTTATTGCAAAACTGTGCAGCCCTTTTCTACGCCTCTATCCATGATATTGATCCACAACAAAAGGATGATTGGATGAGGGATGGATGTATGAATATCTGTCTATACAGATGCACAAACAATATCAAACTATACAAATAAAATAGTACTGAATTATGTGTGTTACACACAAGTGTTACAACTAACCCCTCTGTCTGTTACAATTAACCCTGCATATGGGGTAAGTTGTAACATTTGCACTTCTGTCACTTTCAGTCCAACTGTATGAAAATGGTAGGTCCTAGAAAAAAACTTTAAGTGTTCATTTGTAGCAGAGATGTGTATGTTGCTTGTGTAAAAAAAAATTGGTAACACTTTACAATAAGGTTCGTTAGTTAACATTAGTTAACTATATTAGTTAATATGAACTAATAATGAACAGCACATATACATCATTTGTTAATCTTTGTTAATGTTATTTTCAACATTTACTAATACTTGATTAAAATCTTGTTAACATTATTTAATGCACCGTGAACTAACATGAACAAACAATGAACAGCTGTATTTTCATGAACTAACATGAACAAAGATGAACAAATGCAGTAACAAATGTATTGCTCATGGTTAGTGCATGTTAGTAAATACATTAACTAATGTTAACTAACGAACCTTATTGTAAAGCGTTAACAAAAAATGTAATCTAACCTAATTATTTTTTAATTAATTGAGCCAAAACCAAAATGCGTTAGGTTGTGCCCCGCTCTCCCCTAGTTACTGCGCTTTGCCTTTGTGCCAGAATAAAACCCGTTATGGACGTGGCATTTGCAGTCAAAAATTTAAATATAAATTCTCAGAAAAAGCATTAATACCAATATATTGAAACATCTGTTTATCCATGCTACTCCCTTAAAGGAGTCCAGACATTAGAAAAATATTAGTCTGCGTTTTTATATTTAATATTAAGGAAATAGACATGCATTCATGCTTGACAAAAAATCTTTAACTTAGGAGGCAAAATATATATTTTTGTAATTCTGTGAATTACACTGCGCAAATCGAATGAGGAAGGGTTGGCTCTCCACAGAACATAAAATATTTATTTTATTTTTAGTGTTCGCACTTATGAGGAAAAATCAATGTTACAGACGTGACAGTTCTCCGTTATTCAGACGTGAGCGCTCTGAAGCGGCACTAAAAGACGGATTTAAAACTTCCACAGACCTCAAACAGAAAAGCACAAAGCCTTTATTTAAAGTGAATTTCGTTTTCCTTTCGATTTTATCTTGATTTTAATCAATGTTTCATCAACCAATTGCCTGGATTTAATACATAAGAAGTAAAAGCAAACAATTATAATCACGACACGCAGAGTACGGAGGGCATCTCATAAATATAAACTTAGCGTATAAATACGCATATCCTACTCCACAGACCTGAAACGTTTATCTATATTGAAATGTCAACTTGTAAACCGAACAATTACAAACGAAACTAAACCGAAAAGATTGATTCAATCCTCAATAGCGTTGAAAGCACCCAATTTATTTTCACTGACTGTGAGATAGGCTTAACTAGACTTAAATCAAATTTAACTTTTGATTAATAAAATGTTCTGCTTTAAAAGTTTTGATATTTAAAGCAATTTTCTATTTAAAAATGTAGGCTAATTTTATATAATTACGTTTTTCTTTCGCTAAATGTCCCTTTGCGCCACCTGGTGGTCATTTCACGACCGACTTTGAAATACGGCTGGTTTATTTTTGCCGCGGCGGATTTAACACGGCACTTGCCGCGCGGGAGGTGTCATTCTGGTTGATCACCTACTCTATTGCCCCATGACCATTGGCGAGCTCCTCTTCTGCTCACTGGGCAGCTGAGACAGACCGACTCAGGTGCTGTGACAGAAAGCGCGATCTGATACTCAGCATACTAGCCTGCTGCCGGGCTAAAAGGGGGGACTGGATTTTGCCTGGTCGCTCGCTTTTTTCAGCTGCCTGGCTTGCTTGAAGCTACCAGCATAGCTCAGCCAGCATATCTCTCGGGGTCATAGAGTCTCACAAACTGTTCCGGCACGGTAAGGCACCAGTCCATGGAACAGTCAAATAGCCTATTTACAAATTTGTTGAAATGCCGTTTTGGTAAGTATCCTTGTAATCACAGTCGGTTATGGCTTAAATGATTGAAACATTTGAGAAACGTGTGTACACAGTATATTGGGTTTGTTCGTTAGCTCTTAAAGTGACAGCGGCTAACATTAATGACTGCTGGAGACATTTATGTTAATCAAACAAGAAAAGAGAGGATTAGTCAATATTTAATGTATACAGCATTTATTTTACAGATTAATTACTTTATTCAATATCTGTTGTAGGCTATTACTTATCTGAATACCACTGTGATTTCAATATTGACCAAAATAATCGTGATTTAAGATTTTTGGCGTAATTGAGCAGCCCTACCGCCAACTCCACCTGTGATCCCCATGACCGAACTCAAAGAGCTGACTCGGCAGATGCAGGACATGAACCATGGGGGGCAGGTGCCTCATGCATAATGTCAGGCATGAAACGTTCACAGTTAGGACAAACAGCCCACTCAAGTGCTGACTGGGCATATTCTAGTCCTAACACACTACACATAAATCATGCATTTCATCCTCCATAATAAAGCAGGGGTATGGGTGATACACAATTCCTGAACTGTTTGCTGGCCATGTAAAACAGAGTGAGATGTCACAATAAATCCCACTGATAAACAGCAGACACGCAAGCTTCGTCACCTAACATCCAACGGCCAATAGAATTGGCGTAATTTTACACAATGCTGGAAGCGTTTCCATATCAACACCTTGACACAGTGTTGAGGAATATTATATTATAGCACCACTTTTTCAGATGGATTTGTGTCCGTGTATTTGAGTAGATGCACACCTTTAGAACCATCCTGCCAAGTTTGGGGTCTTTACAATTTACCTTCTCTGATACCTATATACTTTTAGGGAAGAAAATAATAGAAAAAAGATTGTCCCTTCAGTGCTTAAACCCCTAATAATCAGAAAATTGGAACAAATACAATAAGGTTCCAGCACCTTTGGCGTCTGCTCTTCCTTGAACAAAATATTGATTTAAAACTAAGCAATACATGTGTAAAAATATCTTGGAAATAAATAGCAAAATTCCTTTCACAACACCATCAAATATCAAAGATAACTAAAAAATAAATAACAAGAATTTTTTTTTTTTGCTCTAGAATAGAAGCCAACGAAAGACCTTCAAAAGAATATATATATTCTTATATATTCCAGCATATCCATTGTCAGTCTTCCTGTTTTATAACTCTTTTCTGTTAGTAATGTAAAATGATATGTACAGTACGTATAATATGTTGTTATATTTAAGCTTGCATTAAGCTATGCATTCCAAAAAACTTACTCTGTTAGTCAAAATGAACAGATGTAGATGACTCATGACATGAATTGCGTTTTCCAGGTACAGTGGTCCCATCCAAAACAAAGATTGCGTACCACTTCTCAACACTGGTGTTGACTTACGGCCAGCAGCACACGCTCCAGATAGAACCAAGGGATGAGTATGGCAACCCCACCAGTAACTCCATCTCACTGGTGGATGAGGTCAATTACAGCGTTCATGTCCACCCAGTAAGGGCACTTACTGCATACTTACAGTTCATAGTTTTTAGTTCAAACTTTAGAAGTTTGTGTTTATATATTAGCATTAGACAGGTTGCAGGTCCAAAAGAATTTGCTGAGTTTGTATTTAAATCTCTTTTTCTTACTGTTCCTACAGTTGGGCACAGTGGAGGAGGAGGAGAGCTCAGATGATTGCTACAGCACATCGGTATCATTAAACAAGCCTCAGTGTCAGGTTTTGATGAGGCTCACCTTCAGGAAAAAAGGCTGCTTTAGAGCATGCATCTCATACAGGGACCAGCCCCTTAGCAATGGGGAGTTTGACATCATTGTACTCAGTGGTGAGTTAATCTTGGTATTGGAGAGGGAGGGTTGTTGAGGAGATTTACTAAAATGCTTCTAACACCTTTTCATCACTTTTCCTGACTTTTCCAGTGATTTGTGTTCCCCTGATAAAGATTTTTTTCTTTTTATTGAGATTGTACTCACAAAGAGCAAAGCATGATAAGAATTTTTTTTTAATCCCCACATTAATTTAGTTTTTATTTGTTTTCCTCTGTGTGTTTCACGTTTCCCCCATGATCGAAAGACATTCAGGTGAATTGGTGAAACTAAATTACCAGAATTATTTCACTTGTTATATTTCACTTGTTTATACAGTTGTTCTAAACCTGCATGAGTTTCTTTGATCTGTTGAACAGAGAAGAAGGTATTTTGAAGAGTGTTAGTACCTAAACAGTTTCTGCTCCTATACTACACTTGTTATATTTCACTTGTTTATACAGTTGTTCTAAACCTGCATGAGTTTCTTTGATCTGTTGAACAGAGAAGAAGGTATTTTGAAGAGTGTTAGTACCTAAACAGTTTCTGCTCCTATACTACAGTTTCTATTATTGACTTCTATAGTATAGTATAGTATTTTTATTTCATAGTATGGAAGTCAGTGGGGACCGGCAGCGGTTTAGTTACCCACATTTTTCAAAATCTTTTTTGTGTTCAACAGAACAAAGAAAATCATACAGGTTTAGAACAACGTGAGGGTGAGTAAATGATGACATAATTTGCATTTTTTGGTGAACTATCTCTTTAAAACAAGAATTCAAAAAAATCTGCCAGTGCAGTAAGGCCAGGCATATACTGTGCGATATCTGAGCTATTTCAGCAAGGTTACCAACTCACACTGTACGATTAGATAGCATGTCATGAAAGCCAAAGCTCACGATTTATGTGCTCACATACGGTCCGATCGGCCAGCTGCGACTTTTCTGCTCCCAGTACGTGTGAAAAATGCGAGATAATTGGATTTAGCATTTCCAATGTATGTATTAAATTATTATTATTATTATTAGGGTAGGCGTACTTTTATTATCAAACTGATATTAAATAAATTTGCCCCGCAATAATTTTATAGTGCATTACTGCAAACTGAGGTACCTTGAAGTCCATTTTGCTGAGATAAAATAAACTAAAATGACTAAAAATGAACTCCTAAAACTTAATGCCAGATTCTGGAATTCTTCAATAGTGGTACGAGAGGATGTGGTACTGGATTGAGTCACTCTCATTTTGTCTCTCTATAAAGCCTATAAATAGCAGTCATCATGTACTTCACTTCAGCTTGTGATTCTGATTAATTAGAGGTAATTTTTTTTTAAGATTCATTACCTAACCTAAGGCCTCGTCCACACGAAGCCAGAGCTTTCCCTATCCGATATTTTTTTTCCTCATTCTAAAAAAAAAAAGTCCGTAAACACGGAGGCGTCTCGAAAAATATCTGCGTCCACACGAAACCACTGAAACTGACTGAAAACGATGTAGTAGACATCCCAGACCAGTATGTGGCGCTGTAAATCTGCAATAGATATCCACTAAAAATGTGAGAAGAAGACTTAAAGCATGCGCATAAAACCTTGCGCGTTGTAGGTCAAAATGAAAAGGCTATGAAATAATATTACGCACAGTTGCTTATTTTCTTTTTTACCAAGAACTTAATTGAACAACCATAAATTGCCTGGTACAAAATAGGGAGTCACGATATTCGATTAGCTTGCGGACTCAGAAAGCTTGCCACAAAGAATAGACATTTTAATTGTTTGTTAATAAACTAATGTTTTCTGTGTCATTCTTGACTGAAAAGAGGAAGTTAATGATGCTGACTCGCCACTTCGCAGTATTGTGAATGTGCCTATGGAGTGGGCTAATGCACTTCATACGGATTAGGCTATAAGAGAGAGTATCTGTTTCTGTTCGTTTTTAATTGTTGTTTGTCGATGTTGTTTAAACGTAGACATTTCAAGATTTCTATATATTTCTGAGTTTCGGTTCCTTTATATGACGAGCTCCCGTTCACGAGCAATGCAAGTTAAATCGCGCCGGGACGTCCATGTCCTGATTATATTCTGCTATAGCCTATATGTGCTTCTTTTATTAAATCCAGGTAACTGGTTGATGAAACATTTATTAAAATAAAGATACAATTTATAAAAAGCAAAAACAAAACTTAATGTGGTCAAAATTGGTCTCCCGACATAGCCTATTGCGCATACTGTATGCACGCGGTTCACTTTTCATAATCAATAAACATAGATTCAATAAAAAATAACATATTTAAACATAAATGTATAAATATGGTTCCACAACCACAACTAAATACATTTCTTTAATGGATATAACACGTACGCTTAAAGGGTTAGTTCACCCAAAAATGAAAATTAAGTCATTAATTTCTCACCCCCATGCTGTACCAACCCCGTAAGACCTTCGTTCATCTTCGGAACACAAATAAAGATATTTTTGATTGAATCTGAGGGCTGGATGACTCTTCCATAGACAGCCTGAGGGACTGCCTCTTGACGGCCCAGAAAGTCATTAAAAGAAAAGGTTTAAATATTCCATGTGCCTACAGTGGCTCAACTATAACTTTATCAAGCGACGAGAATACTTTTTGTGCGAAAAAAAACGTAAATAACGACTTTATTCGACTTTCCATTACTTCCTTATGGGCGCATGCGCGAGAACTGAGACGAGACCGTTCTTCTTCGACTACTTTTTGTTACCGGCTGCTCACCGCTTAGGAGTTTTACCGCCCCCTACCGTATAAGATGACGTACTGATATAGCCGGAGGCGCAAAACATTCTGTTTACAAGCAGTACGTCATCTTATACGGTAGGGGGCGGTAAAACTCCTAAGCGGTGAGCAGCCGGTAACAAAAAGTAGTCGAAGAAGAACGGTCTCGTCTCAGTTCTCGCGCATGCGCCCATAAGGAAGTAATGGAAGTCGAATAAAGTCGTTATTTACGGGTTTTTTTTCGCACAAAAAGTAGTCTCGTCGCTTGATAAAGTTATAGTTGAGCCACTGTAGGCACATGGAATATTTAAACCTTTTCTTTTAATGACTTTCTGGGCCGTCAAGAGGCAGTCCCTCAGGCTGTCTATGGAAGAGTCATCCAGCCCTCAGATTCAATCAAAAATATCTTTATTTGTGTTCCGAAGATGAACGAAGGTCTTACGGGGTTGGTACAGCATGGGGGTGAGTAATTAATGACTTAATTTTCATTTTTGGGTGAACTAACCCTTTAACCTCCAGAGAAATGTAAAGTCGGAGTGGAACAGGTGTGTTTTTTGAATAGCCAAAATAATCAAATAATTCCCATCGATCGTCGAAAATTATTTTTGCTTTATATCCCCATCCCTATAAAATACGAAATGTCTTTATCAGGTAACTGTCACAGCCTGTCGTCTGCACCAGTCTGTCTTCGTCATCTGCACTACACTTCCCAGGATCCTCTTGTCTCTTCTCCTGAACTCACTCCCTCATCAGCCACCTGTTCCTCGTTTTGATCATCTGTTTCACCTGTTTTCACTCCATTATGTTTGATTCATCTGTGTATTTAGTTCCCTCAGTTTCCTTCAGTGTTGGTCGATCGTTGTACTTATATAGTCTGTTCCGTTCCATTGGATGTGTCAAGTTTAAGTAAAGCGTTTGCATTGGAGTTTCTGGCTCATCTGTGACAGAACGTGACAGAACGTGACAGAACGATCGACCCCACCAGTGACAGCATGGGACTTCTCCTAACCCCGGCTCTCACCACCCTCAACCTATTCCAGGACGGACGCTCTTCTGAGGAGTATGTCGGCAGGTTCCTGGAGCTCTCTGCTGGGGTGAGTTGGTCAGATGACGTCCTAAAGTCAGTCTTTTGGCTGGGTTTGGACGATCATCTGTACCAGCAATCCCCAGCAGCAGCGTTTCCAGGGACCTTCGCCGGATACCTGGACCATGTGTTGTGGTTGAGTGGGTCAGCCTTCACCGTTGGTGAGGCTGAAGATGACAGCACCACTCAACCACACACACCCCCCATCATCACCGCACCAGCCCTCATCGCCCACCAGTCAGAACCATCCACCCCTCCCGAACCTGATCACCCCTCACCGCTGGTTCCGTCCAGTCCTCCCGAGCCTGATCTCCCCTCACCGCTGGCTCCGTCCAGCACTCCTGAGCCTGAACTCTCCTCTCCGCTGGTTGCGTCCAGCCCTCCCTAACATGAACTCTCCGCCCCGCTGGTTCCGTCCAGCCCTCCCGAGTATGAACTCTCCCCTCCGCTGGTTCCGTCCAGCCCACCCGAGCCTGAACTCCCCTCACGGCTGGTTCCGTCCAGCCCCATCCAGCCAGCGCCAGTGACCGTCCAGCCAGCGCCAGTGACCGTCCAGCCAGCGCCAGAGACCGTCCAGCCAGAGACCGTCCAGCCAGAGACCGTCCAGCCAGAGACCGTCCAGCCTGCACCAGAGACAAGGATCCCGCCCAGCCTCCCTCTCCCGCCTCCTCTCATCTGTCCTCCATCTGCTCTCCTGCCCTTCAGCTCCCCGAAACCAGCCTGGTCAGTGAATCCCCAGTTTTCGCCTCCCGCCTCCTCCACATGGACACTTCCTCGGCCCCCGGTCCCATTGGCTCCCCCGTGGCTCTTACCTCCCTCAGCTCCTCCATGGTCCCTCAGTCCACCAGCTCGGCCAGGCTCCCTCGTCCCTCTGGATTCCCTTTGGTCCCTCATCGTCCGTCCTTCACCTCTGGACTTTCATTTGTTGGCTTCGCCCCGTCATTTCCCCTCCCCCCCCCCCGGTTCAGTTGGACTCCTCACTCCCTCCAGTCACCCATCAGCCCTCACTCCCTCTGTCCTCACCGTGTCCCTCTGTGCCCCTGGCATCACTTCAGTCACCTGAGCCTACGGTGTCACCATGTTCCCTCGGTCCCTCATCAGCACCCCGTGTCGTCAGTCCCTCAGCTTCACCCTGGTCTCCTCTCTCACTTGCTCCGCCCCTGTCAGTCGGCCCCCTGGTGTTGTCAGCCCCGTCTCCTTCGGCTCCACCAGGGGTCCTCCCTCCATCTGCTCCGCCCTGGTCTCGCCCTCAGCCTGCTCCGCCCTGGTCTCGCCCTCATCCTGCTCCGCCCTGGCCACGCCCTCATCCTGCTCCGCCCTGGCCACGCCCTCATCCTGCTCTGCCCTGGCCACGCCCTCATCCTGCTCCGCCCTGGCCACGCCCTCATACTACTCCGCCCTGGAGGGCCTCCTACTCCAGACCACGCCCTCCACAGCCTCCAGGGCGCCCACCCCCCCTCCCCGTTGATGTTACGGCGTGAGGTCACGCCTACCGGGAGGGGGGAGTGATGTCACAGCCTGTCGTCTGCACCAGTCTGTCTTCGTCATCTGCACTACACTTCCCAGGATCCTCTTGTCTCCTCTCCTAAACTCACTCCCTCATCAGCCACCTGTTCCTCGTTTTGATCATCTGTTTCACCTGTTTTCACTCCATTATGTTTGATTCATCTGTGTATTTAGTTCCCTCAGTTTCCTTCAGTCTTGGTCGATCGTTGTACTTATATAGTCTGTTTTTGAGTGTATTCCAGTCTGTTCCGTTCCATTGGATGTGTCAAGTTTAAGTAAAGCGTTTGCATTGGAGTTTCTTGCTCATCTGTCTTCCTTATCCACCTGCACTTCCACCACACCCGTGACAGTAACAGACAAGCAGCATACGAAAGATTATGCCTAGGCCTAAAAAAGCACATTCAAGTAAATAATAAATAAAGAAATACAAGAGGCTCAGAACTTTCTGCCGCATAGTATATTATATTATATTACTATTATACAAGCAGTTTGGCAGTTGTTGTCTGACTAGTCGACACAACATCATCGTTTCACAAAATATTGGCCGTCCACACGAAAACGCAAGGGTGCCGTTTTCGAATTTATCCACCTTGGGACCCGGTTTCAAAAAATTGCGGTTTCACTCTCCCAAAGCGCCGGATCCGTGTGGGCGAAACGCCAATACGATAAATTTATATGTATACAGCGAAACGCGTCTTCGTGTGGACGGGGCCTAAGTCTCTGAGATCCTGACACCTTGCCCTTCTGGAGACTCCAGGTAGGTTCCAGTTCTGTAAAATTGAGGCTAAAGGGTTCCTGGTGGTTTTACGCTTAATTCTTCATCTTAATTCTCCATTCTTTTGCAGTTAAAATCTGTTTTTTTTTTTCTTCTCTGTTTTTCTTTTCTTCTCTGTTTTTGTTTAAAGGGTCATGAGCTGGCTTTTTAAATTTTATTATATTGTTGTCTGAGGTCAACTTATGACGTTCACTTGGTTTTCACATTCAAAAACATCAAAATTAATAAGTAATAGGCTATGTTCCACCCAAGTTTTGAGCCTACCTGAAAAATGCTCTGTTTTTATGGTCGTCTTGCACTGAAGACTTGGAAGTAAACGCCCACTGCTGTGAGTGTATAACAGTTTTGCATATTATAATGAGTTTAACTCACCCGTAGATACACTTGGGGAAAATTGTTTTGAAACCGTCTAATGTTGTAAAATGGCAACCGGAATGATTCGATCCAGAGTCTGTGTGTTGCACAATTCCTGTCAGATCCAATATAGACAGCACAGCACAGTTCTTTACTCTTAATCGGTCTGCAAATCCAGTCTTGTTTACAAAACAATCCTCAGTGAAATGAATCGAACAGACGGACAATGTTTTACCCTCATCAGCTGGAGTGGAACGTCATTAAAAATAAAGTTTATCCATGCAGTCCTATTGGAATCCAGAGAAAGCATATGCAGCCACTGTCTTCTTCCACAACCAGGCACTGCACAATGTTTTGTATTGCTCGCTCGGTAGCTCGATCCGGTTTGTCACCACGAGGTAGGCATCTATGTTATTTGGCTATGCGTTTAATGCGCAAATCGGTGGGCGTGTTTTATCCTCTTTGACGTCATAGTTCCCCACTTTGAAAAACGAGTCGTTTGCTGAGCCTGGTGTCAATAAAAGCTTTTATTGGACTAACAAGGACGTTTTCAGTTCGGAAACTTACAGGATGTTCTTATAATATGATGACCTCTTAGATGTCAAAAGCTCAAGGTAATTTGGATTTCGCAGTTCATCGCCCCTTTAACCTCGCTGACCCAATGGGCATTTCACTCTCCAATGGTCATGACTTAACTGCAATTTCTAAGAATTGGATTATTATTGCGTCCTTCTCATGGGTATTTAATAATTTTTGACTTTTAAAATCTCATTTAAAATCTCTTTTTTGGTTCATTTTATCTGTAAAAGAAAACTTGCCTAATAATTATGCACACCTGAATATAAGGTGTTTTTTATTTCCAGCCTTAATAAACAATTATATATCACTTATAAATTATTAAACTGATGACTGATTAGTGCAATGTTCTGACATGTTATTGACTGTTGATAATTATAATTATAGGCTTATAATAGTTTATCTTTTATCTTAGTTTATAGTTTATATATAATTAATATATTAATAGTAAAATTGTATAATGAGGAGTAAGCTAATCTATTATCATTATTATTATTATTATTACTTTTTATATTACTATTATTATTATTATTATCTATCTTATTATTACAGTTTCTTATGGACACCAGCTAACTTTGGAAACTCTGTTATTTTCTTCAATTTAAAGGGTCATGAAACCCCTGTTCAGCACTAGTCAGTTGTTACCAGTTTTGAAAAATGTGACAAAAATTGGTGTGGTAATCTGTTGAGTGGAGGGGGAAGAAGAGAGACTGACAACAAAGCAATGGCTTCTGATTTAGACAGTTTTATTTCGCTCTAATTATTGTTTACATCAACAATACATATGGTATCATCGCATTTTTTTTTTATTGCAATGTCTCGATGTATCGTTACACCATTAACACAATAAACACATTTTATACATGGTTTTGTAAGCTGACCGTAAATTACACAAATACTGTACATACATATCCCATGACAGCTATAATTTAATATAGCTATCATACTCTGCATCGAAAATTTTTATAAAGATCTTTAATAACTTTTGAGGCTTATTTTGCCATTTGATCGTTATAGGTCCGTTAAGACCGGTCAAAGACCTATGAAAAACAAGTTATGCAACATAGAAACTCTTACAATTTCTATAACCTTTTCTCTATGTATTTTTGTCATTATGCACTTACATAGAAAATGAGAAGAACTGTGTGGAGAAAAACGTGTCTACTCCCGGCATAAGCATCTACTTCGAGGCCTACCTCTACAACACAGGCACTTACAGTAGTTGTCCATGGCAGTTACTTGCATCGTCCCAGCTAGCCCTACAGAGACGGCCCTCCATGGGCGATGAGGAGGAGGAACATGACTCCCCTGTAGAGGGTCAGTCAGAGAAGGTCAAGAAACCAAAAAAGGTTTATTGCTATATCTCACCAAAGGTAAAATATTTTGTAAATAGGTTAGTGCTGCATTTGTTTGGTTAATTTTGTTTGTTAATATAGTTTTTGTTAATTTGGATACTGATGTATTATATTGTGTTGCAGCAATTTTCTGTGAAGGAGTTTTACCTGAAGATTATTCCTTGGCGCCTTTTCACTTTCCGTGTGTGCCCCGGAACTAAGGTTTAAAAAAAAAAAATTATATAAATATATATATATATATATATATATATATATATATATATATAGTATTAATTTCTTCTTTCCTGTCTCTGGCAGTTCACGTACCATGGACCAGATCCTGTTCATAAATACCTAACACTGGTGGTCGATGATGGGATTCAACCTCCAGTAGAGCTCAGCTGTAAGGACAGAAATATAATGGCTGCCACCTTTATCCGATTTCTCCACAAGAACATCGGTTAGTATGAGTGTTGGTTGTCAGTTAATACAAACAAATGTAGACATGTTGGTGTGTTTGATGTGTTAAATGTCATTTGTGCATCTTCTAGGAGGATCAGAGACTTTTCAGGATAAAGTGAACTTCTTTCAGCGGGAGCTGAGACACATTCACTCAAAGAGACCTCGCACTAAAACCTGCCTGAAAATCAGCCGTCCTTCTCTGCTTGAGTCGGTGAGTAAATCTGGTAGATCATTACTCATGGGCCGTATAAAACCGGTTTCAGAACAACATACTCACACAAACCTGCCCTATTTATTTCTTGGAATCTTTTATTTCTTTTGTGTAGTATAGACACTGTTTTTTTACGGGAATTAAAAGATATGTTAATTTCCCCCCATTTTTAGTCTCTGAAGGCCACACGGAACTTTTCTGTGTCTGATTGGAGTAAGAACTTTGAAGTTGTGTTCCAGGATGAGGAAGGTTGGTTAACTGTTTGGTGTTATTAGAAACACAGTGTTATCAAACAGTCTGAATAAACATAAATCCTATTTAAAGGTTAATTTGTTCTGTTTGTGTTTGGCTGTTTATTAGCTCTGGACTGGGGAGGGCCAAGGCGTGAGTGGTTTGAGCTTATCTGTAAGGCTCTGTTTGATACCAATAATCAGCTTTTCACACGCTTCAGTGACAACAACCAAGGGTTGGTAAGTCAGTATCTACCTCTGATTAGTTTTCTGTGAAAAAAAAAATGTATTCTCATTTCTCTATGTTCTGTAAAGATTATTTAAAGAGTTCTGGTATAGGAGAAAGTAATTGTAAAGGATAAATTACACCCATCACCTTTAGTGAACTGCAGTAATATAGACATTCACTTATGAATATTGTGAGCTGAAATCTGATGAGTTTTTTTTTTTGTGTGTGTGTTTTTGGGCAGGTCCACCCAAACACTGAGCGTCCCCCTCACCTGAGGGTGAAGATGTATGAGTTTGCAGGGCGAGTGGTGGGGAAATGTCTATATGAATCAGCTTTAGGTGGGGCCTACAAGCAGCTAGTACGAGCCCGATTCACCCGCTCCTTCTTGGCTCAGATTATTGGATTACGAATGAACTACAAGGTGACAGTTGATTCTTAGCCTTCTAATAAATGTATATTTTAACCTGTACTGATACATTCCTCATTTACAATTGAATACCATTTTAAGTGTAGTCATGTGCCCTCTGTTTGGGAGCAAATTTTGGAAATCATACCGGCAAACTTGTCTACTTTTGGCAAAATTCACTGTTCTGAAAAACACTTCATAAAAGTTTTGATGCCATTTTCTTTTCACCTATACCTCTGTAAAGTAGTGTTGCTGCTGTATTTCTGCTTTTCCATAAGCACTTTTCATTCAGCCTGGCTGCTGTTGACAGCCAATGTCAAAACCAACCACATGACAGTTTAATGTAATGTTAACCCATAAAGCAAAGTACTTTCTTAAGATTGATCATTAATCTGCTATGTCATGTTTATGACATATTTATGACAGGTTGTGTTGTTTTAGTAATGTCAAGTTGTCGTGACAAAGGCAGTGACAGGTTATGATGTTTTGGTTTATGTCAAGTTGTCATAACAAAGACTTCTCAAACTATGTCATATTTGCATTAAACATGTCATAATAAAACGAAGGACACTTAATGACAGTTATCATAAACATGCATAAAACCTAATTTATATTCATGACGTGTCATGTCATAATTATGAAGGTGTCATGTCAGTCTTATACAAACCCCTTCAAGTAAAGTGTTACCGACTGGGATCTGAGTTTTATCGTTTAAAACATTTAGTTTTTGTCAAAAATTATATTACCTGAACTGTAAAAATGAACTGTAAATTCTGTTTTTATGGTTATTTTACAGCTTAGAATGTTACTATTAGTGGTTTCAAATAATGTTGCTAACGAAATGACATGTAGTTCTATTCTAATATCAGAATTTTTCTGATTCTAAGAAATCCCCCCCACACACACAAACACGCACAATATCTTTTTCATTGGTCCAGAGTTTGCAGGTAAATACATCACTTACTCTCCTTTGATTAATTCATATGAATGTTTGTTACATTTTTGTTGTTCTTTTCTCTGCCAGTACTTTGAAACAGATGATGAGGAATTTTACAAAACTAAAGTCTGCTTCATTCTGAACAATGATGTCAGTGAAATGGACCTTGTGTTTGCAGAGGAAAAATATAGCAAGTCGGGACACCTGGAAAAGGTAATCCTCATTAATTCAATTAAATGAAAAATAAAATCTGTTCCATTTAAATTTTGATTCCAAATATAATACAGTTCAATGCATGTATGCATGGAAGTGCTCTTAAGGCAGAAATGTCCAATCCTGTACCTGGAGCGCCAATGTCCTGCAGAGTTTAGCTCCAGCTAACTCAAGGCGCTTTCACACTGGGCTCGTTTGCTGTGGTCTGAGCCCTGGCATGATTTGTTCCCAGCGTGCCCCGCGGCGTTGCTCTGGTTTCACACTCAACTTGATTCTATCGGACCCTGGTGCATTTGTATGCATCTTACATTATCGCAAGCGTGCACGGCACATGATAGAAACAGAACGCGGGTCGCGGGTATACGCAGGTGAGTAAACGACACCGGTTTACTGTGTGTGTGTTGCATAAGGTGGCCTGCTGCTGCTTGCAAACGGACTCTTTTGAGGAGACAGTGGATTTCCAAATGTGTTGTTTGAATACATCATAATCAGATAAAACACTTGTGCAGGTCACTTTATTTTCTGAACAAGTGTGCACCCTAGTCCATGTTGCTTTCACATTCACATTCACGCGAACCGCAACACGGTTCGGGAGCAACCGAACACCTCCAGGTAGTCTTGTGTTCGGTACCCCAGAGCACACCCGGGTCCTTATGACAGCTTTCACATTAGCAATTTTTCATGTGAACCGTGCCCCGCTGTGAGCTAAACTTCCAGTGTGAAAGCACCCTCAAACACATCTGCCTGGATGTTTCTAGTTAGTCTGAAGACCTCGATTAGCTGATTCAGTTGTATTTAATTAGGTTTGGAGCTAAACTCTAGGGCAATGGCCTTCCAGAAGCAAGCTATGACATCCTTATTAGTTGAAGATACAGGTGAATGTTAGTTGTGTACCTTCACTGAGAGTAATAATGTTACAGGTAGTGGAATTGATATCTGGTGGTGCTCAAATTGCTGTGACCAATGAGAATAAAATTCACTACTTAAACCTGTTGGCCCAGTACAGACTAGCCAGTCAGGTGCGAGATGAAGTAGAGCACTTCCTCAAAGGTAAGAGTCCATGATCAGACTCTTAAATTCAGTGTCTTTATGAGAAAACAATCTCAAATGAACTAAATTACCTCTTCTTTTTAGGTTTGAATGAACTGGTCCCTGAAAACCTTCTGGCCATATTTGATGAGAATGAATTGGAGGTGGGAACAATAGTTAATATTGCTGTTTTTCTTTATCTAAGTACAGTTCAGTTGACATACTCAAAGCGACAAAACTAGGGACAACTTGAACAAACCTTATCTAGTTTCCAAGACTCACCAGTATTGCCTCATGAGCATGAGGTCTTGCTTACCCTCCTGTTTAGTGAGTGACAGAGAGGAGCAGTTAATGATGTTATCTGTCAATGAAAAAAAAAGTTTTTCTTTTGCACTATTATTGTTTGATTTATTTGTCTGTGGAGATTTTGTCTCTATTATAAATCAGGGCCTGTATTCATAAAGATTCTAAGAATCCTCTCAGAAATCTCTTAATTTAGTTTAAAAACTTTTACGTAGGAGTTTAGCTTAAGAGCGATTCGGGACCGATCTGAGAGCAACTCTGAGAAAGGAAAAGACAAAAACTTTCATCTTAGTGAGGAGGCGAGGCTGACCTTGTTGCGATGTATGACACAATATGTGATTGGTTGGTTGTCCAAGAAGGGAACTATAGGGTCTATTCTAGGCCATCACTTTGAAATTACATGCAAAATTGTTCCTATTTTACCATTTTCTCTCTCTCTCTCTCTCTCTCTCTCTTTCATACACACACATATAAATGTGTATATAAATCCTTTTTTTATTATTTACCATGCTGTTAATTTCCTATAAGGTATTTGATTGGCTTATATGATAAAAATTGTTCTACTCTTTCCAATTGCACTGATTGCTGGCATGTCTATTTAAGTGGTGGTTTGAATGTTGGTAATGTAACAAACATGGGATCAAAACCAAGAAGGAAAAGCCCGACTGGACAGAAGAACTAGGCCATCCTTAAAGGAAAATTCGGGCTGGGTGTCAAATCTGTCAATCTATATCGTCTTATTAACTCACTGTCGTCCATTGTCTGCAACACGTCTTCTCCCTCGTCATCTTTCTGCCATTTCTCCTCTGCTAAAGAAACTCTTAAGCCTCTTAAAAGTCCTCGTCAGTACTCCTAACAAGTTTGACCTTAAGACCTCTTTTAAGGGTTAAGATACTCTCTGAATTACTTTTTTCTTTACTATGATTTTTTATTTATTTTAAGAGTAAAGGCCCACATTTCTAAGAATTTTCTTAGAATTTTGTCACTAGGAGTGACTCTTTGCACTGGATTCTTTATGAATATGGGCCCAGGAATTTAGTCAAGAGTAGTGTTTGTTGATTTAATATGTTGTCTTAATAGGCTGTATTTCAGTCACTATTTCATAATCATCACATCGTCTCCAGCAGAAATATATATAAATGAGAATAGTTTAATTGGTAATTCGACTTTATTGAAATAGCCAGAATGCGAATATGACACTATTATGTAATGAATATTGCTTTTCAAGCAGGCTTTAGTTACTTTCCACTGAAAGTAGTTGGCAAAAGTGATTGTCAAAAATGTAGCTATGTATGAAGTTTAGCAAGTTACAGAAGTCAAACCAAGCAGCTTTTGTTGGTGAATGAGGCTAATCTTGACCAACTTGAACACAAGCTAATTCTGCTCAGAAAAAAATATCGCCCTCACTTTAAAATCTTGATCGGACACATTCCTATTTACAGTAAATGACTGGATTTCACCAAGTACTGGTAAATGTGACAGAAACTTTAACAATGATTCGAACCATTTAAAGTTTTTTTTTTTTTTTTACAGACTCCCCATGTGAAGTCTCCTCATGTGAAATTTAAATGTTTGACTGTTTGGTTCTCTTCTCAGTTGTTGATGTGTGGTACAGGAGATATTAACGTACAGGACTTTAAAGCTCACGCTGTTATTGTTGGAGGGTCATGGCACTTCAGAGAAAAGGTGAGTGATTTAACATATTTAAAGATTAATGTATTTCATTAGTTTTTCAAGGTGTGTAGCTAGCATGGGTTTTACATACGGATTAACAATAAAACCACTGACAGGTGAAGTGAATAATATGGATTGTATCATTACAATGGCATCTTTCAAGGGGTAGGATATTTTAGGCATCAAGTAAATGGTTAATTTTTGAATTCCATGTGTTGGAAGCAGAGAAAATGGGCGAGCAAAAAAAATGTGTCTTAGACAAGTGCCAAATATTGATGGCTATTTAGTGAGTCAAATAGTGAGTCAGATCATGCCAAAACAGCAAGTCTTGTGGAGTGTTCCCAGCTTGCAGTGGTTAGTACCTACAAAAATTGGTTGGATAACCCGGGAAACCAGTGTAGGGGTCATGGGCACCCAAGGCTTATGGCTGAGAAACTTAATTCTGCCCACAATAGAAGGTGTCTGAACAGACAGTACATCAAAGTTTGCTGCATATGGGGCTGCATAGCACCAAAACTGGTCAGAGAGGTGGAGACAGTGTTATGCTCTGGGCAATGTTCTGCAGGGGACTTGTTCAGGGATAGTTTGAAGAACATGATAAAGACTTTTTTATGGTGTTGTCTTGGTGTCCAAATTCTACATGCTGGACCAACAAATTTGATTCATGGAGGCCCCACTTCCCAACTTGCAGGACTTAAAGGATCTGCTGCTAATGTGCTGGTGCCAGATACCACAGGACACATTCAGAGGTCTTATGGAGTCCATTATACTGCTCTTCGACCCTGACAGTGTTCTGACAAACACCTCAGAAAATGCAAAGTTAGAATGCTCATGCTCAGTGCTGTCACATGCTATTCAGTCCATATACTTGTTTACATTAGTTAATCTTAAGGACACACATTTCATGTATCCAGAAATTTTGTTAGCCCTGCGGTAGGGGTGGGCAATATGAGCAAAATTCATCACAATATTTTTCTCTGTCTGGACGAGATCGATATTATATCAAAAAAGTCTTCCGGTTTGGCGCTGCTCTGTGGCTGCCTCGCTGCTTTCACGTTAGGCATTTGTTTTGTTTGTCTGTCTGTTTGCCACAACATGGATCTTGTTTTATGGTATGTGATTGGACTGCTTGTTATGATTTTAAATACATACTTTGCTCAAGGAAGCAACTTCGACAATGCTGCTGGCGGCGGCAAACCCTGTGAAATACGATACAGCAGAGAATTCCTATTGCTGCTCCGCAATCACATCCCCCCGGACTATTTAACTACTGTGGACTTGATACCGAACTGTCTCAAATCCAATCCTAAGGAAGGGAATAATCGGTCGAAACGTAAACGTGGCCGTAAGAGTGGTATTCGACTTCGACTGAAGAGGATGAAAAACAAACTCCCTTTACCTACTACACTGCTTATCAACGCGCAATCACTGAGAGCGAAGACAGAGGAGTTATCGGCTAACACCCGCTTCCTGTACGAGTATAGGAGCGCGTGTGTCTTGGCAATCACTGAGACTTGGCTGGATAGTAACATCGCGTCCACTGAGGTGGAACCTTCAGGTTTCTCGGCGTTTAGGACCGACCGAGACCCCAACATCACCGGGAAGGCTCGCGGAGGCGGAGTCTGTTTTCCTCATCAGGGACGAGTGGTGCCGGGCAGTTACGGTGAGAGAGAAACTTTGTACTCCTGACATCGAGTTGCTGTGTGTTTCTCTGCGACCCTTCTATCTGCCAAGGGAGTTTCCTCAAATTTTCCTTACAGTGGTATATATACACCCAAAGGCAAATGTCAACAAAGCATCAGAGATTCTTTTTAACCTCTCACAGAATCTGGAGTCACTTTCACCTGATGCTCCTAAGTTCATCCTGGGAGATTTTAATAACTGTTCCCTTAAAAAACATCTATGCACATACTATCAGTATGTTAAGTGTTTTACTAGGAAAAATAAGTCTTTAGACATGTGTTATGGAACCGTCAAAGACGCCTACACAGCATCCCAGCTACCACCACTAGGGGCGTCTGATCACACTGTGGTTCATCTTCGGCCTGTCTATAAGAGGCTACTGGAGAGGGAGAAGCCTCAAAAAAGGTCTGTCAAAGTGTGGAACAATGACAGCATTATGGCTCTGCAGGGGTGTTTTGACTGTACAGCATGGGATGTCTTTAAGAGCCCTGATATTAATGATCATGTTGTAGCAGTGTCTGATTATATTAACTTTTGTGTAGATTCTGTGATACCTACTAAGTCTTTTAAAGTATTTCCTAATGACAAGCCATGGGTGTCAAACAAACTAAAGAATCTTATAATTCAAAAGAAAAAAGCTTTTAGAAATCAGGATGAAACAGCGAGAAGGGACTCACAGAGGCAGATTAAACGACAAATACAGCTGGATAAGTATAGCTATAAACAAAAGATAGAGGCCACTCTGGCATCTGGTAATCCTAGAGAGGCATGGCAAGGAATTAAAATTATGACCAATGTTCCACACAAGGGCAGGGGAAATTCTCCACTGGTTTTGCAGAGTGATGAACCTGATCTGGCAAACCAGCTAAATACATTCTTTTGTCGTTTCGAGAGGGGAAATAGTATGGAAGCAACCACTGGGTTACCCCTTCCACTCCCTCGTCTCCCTCTCTCATCTAACTTCACCATCAAGGAATCAGAAGTCCTTCAGCTTTTTAGGAAATGTAATTCTCGGAAAAGCTCAGGACCAGACAACATATGTGGAAGGGTCATAAAACATTGTGCTGAACAGCTAGCACCAGTGTTCACTGACCTTTTTAGATCTTCTTTTAACCTTCACAAGGTCCCAACACTATGGAAAACATCCATAATTATACCAGTGCCAAAAACTCAGCGACCCACTGGACCAAATGACTATCGACCAATTGCACTAACGTCGCTGGTCATGAAGTGCTTCGAGCAGTTAGTAAAGAGGTACATTGTATCTGAAACTCAGCATCTCTTGGACCCCTTGCAATTCGCCTATCAGGCCTCCAGGGGAGTTGAAGATGCCATTGGGACACTATTGCACTTATTGCACACTCACCTTGAGAAACCAAAGACCCACGCTAAGATTTTATTTGTGGACTTTTCCTCGGCCTTTAATACTATCCAGCCCAGTATTTTGGCGGATAGACTGGCCTCAGAATTTTCACTTGAACCTGGCTTGATTTTTTGGATTGTTGATTTTCTTAGTTGTAGAATCCAGCAGGTCAGGACAGGAACTTCTCTCTCGGTCAAGATGTCTACTTGCACAGGCTCTCCTCAGGGATGTGTTTTATCTCCTTTATTGTTTATTTTATATACGAATTCTTGTACCAGCACTTTACCAAACAGGCACCTTATTAAGTATGCAGACGATACTGCTTTGTTGAGTCTACTGTATGATGATGAGGAGGATCATGGGCCAGTTCTTGACTATTTCTTAAATTGGTGTGAAAAGTCAAGCCTCCTTCTAAACACCACAAAAACAAAAGAAATGTCCATTGATTTTAGAATGACACAATCATCAAATTTAACTTTTATTAACGGGGAGGCTATACAATCGGTTACAAATTATAAATATCTTGGCATAGTGATTGACCATAAGCTTAAATGGGATCTGTGGTCTGACCTCATCAGTACTAAGACTCAACAAAGAATGTACTTTTTAAAGAAATTGTCATCTTTTAATGTTCACAACAAAATGCTTCAGATGTTTTATTCTTCTTTTATTGAAAGTGTGTTGGCCTTCTGCATCATCTGCTGGTTTGGAAATGCTACTGAGGCACAGAAGAAGTCTGTAAGGAAAACAGTAACACTGGCCAGTAAACTATTAGGGATCACGTTACCAAGTGTGGAATGCATTTACAGGGAAAGAGTAATGAACAAGGCAAAAACCATTGTGGGAGACAAGAGGCACCCTCTTGCCTCTTCATTCGAACTACTGCCTTCTAGGCGACGGTACTGCCTCCCTCTATTCACTAAAAATAGATCAAAGTCTTCATTTGTGCCTCAAGCAATTAAGCTTTTAAATAGCTAAGTTACATAGGTATAGGATACTCAGCTGGTCTGGTATTGCTTAAATCAAATAGGTAGTTAATAAGTGTAGGGTATGTGGAATTATGGGCTAAGTGTAGTAGTATGTGTCTTTGTATTTTTTCTTTTATTTATTTATTTTTGTGTGTGTGTATGATGTATGTCGTATGTATGTTGAAATGCCTACTTGATTGCTATGCAAACAAATTTCCTCACGAGGACAAATAAATGTACTTACTTACTTACTATATTGCGATATGATAAAAAAAAATGGAATCACATTTTAGTTCACTGGGTTGAATTACAGGCAAAATATGTATTTCAACAATATATAACTAGAAAAAGTGAGGGATTTCACTGGACATCAAAAAGTGCAAAAGTGCAACATGAAGTAGGCCTGAATGCACTTGTAATGTCTTTCCACTTTTTGATCGTCTTGTCATAACAAGTAAAGAACAAATAAAGAATTGCACCCGGGATTATCTGTTACACGCATTTGGGTGCATTCCTCATATTTGCGGACATGCATGCTTTTTAAATGATTAAAGAGTTGGTGTTTCCACCTTTGGCTGCAACAACACAGTGACACAACTTGCGTAATTTTGTTCGTTGGTCGATGTCTGTAGCCTGGCAAGCCAGACCTATCAAGATGATAGGTTTGGGAACTCACAATTGGCATACCTCAATCCGAGGGGCGGGATAAAAGGTTGTCTTTCAATATCCCTCTGCACGCAATAGGATAGCGCCACAATCAACCAGAGCAACGAACGGCTGTGGGTGAGTGAGTCCAATGCGTTTTCCCTCCAGCGGAGCAAGTTGATATATTAAACTTTTGCCATATCCTGTCGAATCGAAAGACCGCTGTTCGCCAGCTGCATCTTGTTTGTTTTCAAGTATCAGGGAAATCACATATGGAAATCACGGTGCAGTCACAACTCTGCCGTCATTGTGTTAACCCGCCCACCAACTCTATACACGATGTGATTGGCTGG